TGGCGTGCCAGGTCCACCTCAGCTGTGGCCAGCACCTTTCGCTGCCCCTTGGACTCCTGAGCAGGGGTGGGAGGGAGAGAGGAGGGTGTGTCAGCACTGCGCAGGACCCTAGAAGCGCCATTGCCCCCCACATACACACTCACGTTCTCAATAACAAAGGTCCACTCTTTAGCCTCATACTGGTCCACGTGGGGGTCCTGGGGAGAAAGAGCCGCAGGTGACATGGGGCTGCAGGGATGGGCAGTGCAGGGTCAGGGCTGCAGGGATGGGCAGTGCAGGGTCAGGGCTGCAGGGATGGGCAGTGCAGGGCCGGGGCTGCGGGGATGGGCAGTGCAGGGTCGGGGCTGCAGGGATGGGCAGTGCAGGGTCGGGGCTGCGGGGATGGGCAGTGCAGGGTCGGGGCTGCGGGGATGGGCAGTGCAGGGTCAGGGCTGCGGGGATGGGCAGTGCAGGGTCAGGGCTGCGGGGATGGGCAGTGCAGGGTCAGGGCTGCGGGGATGGGCAGTGCAGGGTCAGGGCTGCGGGGATGGGCAGTGCAGGGTCAGGGCTGCGGGGATGGGCAGTGCAGGGTCAGGGCTGCGGGGATGGGCAGCACTGGGCCCGGGCCTGTGGAGATGGGCAGTGCAGTGCAGGGCCTGTGGGGATGGGCAGTGCAGTGCTGGGCCTGTGGGGATGGGCAGTGCAGTGCCAGGGCTGCGGGGATGGGCAGTGCAGTGCCAGGGCTGCGGGGATGGGCAGTGCAGGGCCAGGGCTGCGGGGATGGGCAGTGCAGCACCAGGGCTGTGGGGATGGGCAGTGCAGTGCTGGGCCTGCGAGGATGGGCAGTGCAGGGCCAGGGCTGTGGGATGGGCAGTGCAGTGCCAGGGCTACGGGGATGGGCAGTGCAGGGCCGGGGCTGCGAGGATGAGCAGTGCAGGGCCAGGGCTGTGGGATGGGCAGTGCAGTGCCAGGGCTACGGGGATGGGCAGTGCAGGGCCAGGGCTGCGAGGATGGGCAGTGCAGTGCTGGGCCTGTGGGGATGGGCAGGGCAGTGCCAGGGCTGCGAGGATGGGCAGTGCAGTGCCGGGGCTACGGGGATGGGCCGTGCAGGGCCGGGGCTGCGGGGATGGGCCGTGCAGGGCCGGGGCTGCAGGAAAGGCCAGCCCAGAGGTGCTAGTAGGTCTGCATCTGGCTGGCCTCTCCCCCAGCTGCCTGGCTGGCCAAACATCTCCCCCTCCAAGGAGACCTCCAGGACTTCCCCCACCACTCAGCCGTCCAACCAAAAGCTCACCCTGTACAGAGTCACAGAGACGTCCACGTTCTCGGGCACCATCCACACCACCGTGCCCCGGTACGGGTTCTGGATGCCCGGCTGCCAGCTGTGGGGCTGGAGGCCAGCGGCCGTCAGGGTCCTTGGCCAGCAGGCCAGCACTCTCTGCTCCACCTCTGTCATCACCATGTCATCTCCCACCTCCACCCCATCTTCCTTTCCCCCGATTCTCACCCAGACCCAGAACTCATCCTCCACTCTGCCGCCTGCCACGCACACCTGCCACCAGCCCCACGCCCACCTTGGAGCAGATACGTCGGTTCCGGCGGGTCCACACCACCACCAGCTTGTCGGGCTGCCTGGAGGAGGCATGGGGCAGTCAGTTCCATCAGGGGCTTCCCTCTGCCCACTTCCCCTCCTCACCCCCTTATCTGGGGCCACACACTGCAGGGTGGGGATGCTGGGGCAGGGTGGGGCAGAAGTGCAGAGGCCCCAGGGTGGGGAGACAGTGCAGGGTCAGTAGCCAGGGCAGCCAACCCAGGGACAAGTCCATCTGCTCACATGTGCTGCACCAGGCCCACCACCCAGTTTGGCCAACTGAGCAACGCACAGGCAGAGGAGGGACAGTGGGGCAGGGAAGGGCAGGGCACAGGTGCGGGATCCTGGTGGGGGGACTGGAGTACTGGGGTGGGGGAGCAGGACGGAGTAAGGAACAAGAGGAGCCAGGAAGGGAGAGGGTGAAGAGGTGGCACCAGGGCCAGTCAGCTGAGATGACAGCACCTGCCAGGGCCCACTGGAAGAGGTGGCTGTGTGGGGCCCAGTCATAGCACGAAGCTGACCCTGGCAGGGTTGTGTCTGACCGCTTGCTGCCTGCCCGCCTGCCCAGAGGGAGCCACTCCAGGACTCCAGCTCTCGAATGAACCCCTGCAGAAGCCCAGAGAGGTGGACAGGGCAGGGCCCTGGGGCTCTGCCCCCTTCCCCAGAAACCCAAGCCATGGGGCCTTCCTGGAAGGGGGAAGTGGGGGGGGTGCCCAGGATGGGCTGGGCCTGCCCAGGCTGCCTGACTCACGTGGGGGACGTGCCCTCCTGGGGAGCTGCGGCCTAGACAGGGGTGGGGGCAGCTTCCAGGCTTAGGCACCCGGCTGAGAAGGTCAGGAGGCCCTGCCCAGAAGCAGCGGCAGAGCTGTGACTCAGCCACCACTGACACCTCCCCAGACCGTGCCCAACATCCCCCTGACTGCCGGGGCAGAACCAGAGGCCAGAGTTCAAGCGCCAGCCTAACCTGGTGCTGTGTTACCCCAGCCGGTCCCTGCCCTCTCTGGGCATCTGGTGACAGGAATGAATGAGCCACCTGCTAGACAAGGAGATGGGGAGCCAGCCGCCTGCTCACACCCTGCCCCTTGGACCCCACGGCCCCTTCTACCCCAGCTCCTTCCCCTCGGGAACCTAAATTTAGCCCGGCCTGGCGGCTGAGCCCCCACAGCTGTGCCCTAAGCCAGCCAAGGGAAGCTGACACCAGCCGGGCCATATATTTAGGGTGTGACGCAGGGGCCTAAGCAGCTGTGGGGGGGTGCAGACAAGATGCCCTACCCACCCCAAACACAGGGGAGCGGGTGCAGGCTGGGCTGGGGCCTGCTTCCTCCCCTGGCCGCCCACCCCCTCTTCCCAGGCCCCTTGGCCCCTCCCGCCTCATCCCTCCCAGCTCTCAGTTCCCCCTTTTAAGGACATGGTGGAGACACGCAGCCTCCCAGGCATACTCGGGCTGCTGGGGGGCGGGGGTGCCGCAGCTCAACAGGAAGGCGGTAGGGAGTAGGGGACAGGGGGCTACATCTTTGTTCCCAGTCCGACTAAGGCCCCAGGGGCTTCCACCCCTGGGGTCTGGCCACTTGCACACAGCAGAACTTGTTGCGTTTCCCAAGACCACCCAGGCCCCTCTCTGGCCAGTGGCTGACGCCAGGGAAAACATGGCCCAAGCCATGCTCAGACAGGAGTCCCGTACCCCTAAAGCTGCCCACCTCCACCCCCATCGCTACCTAGGCCCCAATCTCGGGGTCCCACAGCCGTAGAGAAGACCTCTGAGTCTCAAGCACCCCAGCAGGCTCCCCAGGCCAGATGGGGTTGCGGGTTCCCCACTCACCATTTCTTGGTACACTCAAGCACCAGCTCATGGTAACATGCCACGAACTGGAACTTGGCAGCCCGCTTGCCCACGCGCTGCAGGCGCTTCCACACCGATGTCATGGCCCCTGCAGCGCGGCCGGCACCTTCTCAGATCCGGGGTGACAGCTAGCCCGCGACCGTTGGCCCGGGCCACGTCCCCATGGCCTCCGGGGCTGCTTTCCGCACTGCCCGCCCCGTCCTGGGCCGAGGTACCCAAGGCTTGGACCCGGGGCCGCGCTCCCAGCAGCCAGCCGCTAAGGGGGAACCTTCCGGGGGTCCCGGGCAGTCGGCGGAGTCTTGCGGGGCGCGCCGGCTTGGCCGGAGCTCGGGGCAGCGAGCGCGCCGTTTCCTGGAGCCGCACCCCCGTCGGAAGGCGGGCGGGGCTCCGCGCGGGGCGGGGCGACCCGGCTTCCGGGCCGTGTGCCGGGCCGGGGGGGCCCAGGGCGGGCCTGGGGGGCGTCTGTCGGCCGGCCCTGGCTGTGGGAACGCGCGAGGGGGTTCTGGGTGCGGGAGTGCAGGCGGTAGCCGCCTTGGAGAGGGCTGCCGGACGCCTCCCTTCCTGCTCGCTGCCTGGAGAGGTTATGAACGTGCTGGTGGACCCATTTCACAGACCAGGAAAAGAGAGACCCAGGATGGGAGGGACTGGCTCAGGAGTGCTAGTGCCACGAGTCTGGGAAGCCAAGAGCCAGGTGACCGGGAGTGTAACCACAGTGGAGGCAGGGACCGGCCTGTGTGGCCCTGGCAGGACCGGTGGCTGGAGGGGCAATACTGAGCCTGCGCAAAGTGTGCCAGTGGACAGTCCCACGCCTCTGTGTTGAAATGGGGATAATGATGGCACCCGCTGGCTTCCGCAGGTCTCACTATGCGGAATCCGTTATCAGGAGAAGCCTGTGGGATGTGTGTGAGCTTTCCCTCCGGGGAAAGCCTGCCCCGGGGCGGGATGGCTGGTTTGACACCTAGATTAAAGTCCTTATCGCCAACCCCCTGCCCGGCAAGGTGTCAGCCTCAGGACTGCCCTGGGGCCACAGAGGGATGCTGTCCGCCAGCGCGGGCGAGTGGAACCGGCTGGTGCACGGACGGGGTTCTTCCTGCGGGGATGGGGTGACCTGACCCTCGGTCGGGCCTCCAGCACTGTGGTCGCCCCGATGCTCGGTGTGTGTGAGGGGAGGTACCTAGGGGAGACCTCAGGGCGCAGCAGCTCCAGGCCCTCCCCCTGCCCCTCAGGGGTCCCCGGCGGCTTCACTCCCCACGCCTCCCGAAGGCCTGGCGGCAGCGGCTGCCCCTCCACCGCAGCGGGGCCTCTGGCCCCGGGCCCACCCATTTCCTGCGCCGCCTTGGCCGGGCCGCCCTCGAGGTGGGAAGTTTCTCTCCTCCAGCAGGGGCGGCTCCTCCTTTCCTTCCCGGCGGCCTGCGAGCTGAGGCTGGGCCAGAGGCGGGAAGTGGCTGGCCCGCGGCCACCCGGGGCAGCCCGGCCCGACCCCGCCCCAGGACCGGGACTCCCAGCCCGCCACGCTCGGCCCGCGTTCGCGCGGGGAGCGGCTCTCGGGCGCCACCTGCCGGCGGAGCGCAGGATTGCAGAGCGAGTCAGGCGACACACAGCTGAGGCGTTTATTGATCCACCGGCCCGGCCGACCCCTAAATAAATCCCCAGCGCGGGGCCTTGGCCGGGGCCGTGGATGGGTGCAGGAATGGGCTCCCACGGCCCTCGCGCGGGGCGACTGGAGTCCGGGGGCCAGAGGTGAGGTGCCCCTGGGCCAGCAGCCACTGTCGCCTTAGCAACAGCAGATGCAGGGGGTGGGGGAACGCAGAGGCTGGGGTCCCAGGGCCACCATGAGAACTGGCCGAGCAGGCCCAGCGCCGTGGGCAGCAGCTGCCACGGGGGACGAGCCTTGCCCACAGTGCGGGAGGGTGGGGGTGCTGAGGCACTGTCCTTGTCCTCCTGAGGGGGAGGGGAGGCGGCGGGGGTGGGGGGGCAGTGTCCGAGGGTACCGAGGCCGACGCCCACCGGGACCAGCCCGGCCCCTCAGAGGCTGATGTGGAAGGCGTCCTGCAGCCACTGGTCGCGGGCGTTGTGCGTCTGGGGCACCGTGAGGGGCGGCGGGTCGGGGGGCAGGCTGGCGTCCGGCGGCTCCTCGTCGTCGGACAGGCCCGCGTCCGGCGGGTACGAGCTGTCCGAGTGCAGCGAGGAGGACAGGTCCTGGCAGAAGCTCAGGTCTTGGCACAGGTGCTTGTAGTCTTGGATGGCCTCGTACAGGCCCCACAGCTGGCACAGCAGGGACATGTCCAGCTGCCGCAGCCCCACCTGCAGACCGCACCGGCAGTGGGCTGGAGTTAGGGGCCGCCATACCCAGACCCGCCCTCCTGGACCCCAGGGGTCCCCAGCCCCGGGCCGTGACTTTTCCTGTACTTTTGCGGATAAAGTTCTAGTGGACACACGACTTGGCAACTCAGGCAAGTGTCCGTGCCCCTCGACGGGGGAACAAACCGGACAGGCATCAAGCAGCAAGCATCCATTAAAAAACGCACGGACTGCCCCAAAAGCCGCGATTAAGGCCGACTCGGCTGGCTTCCGCAGAAGCTCCCGGCCTCAAGCGGCCTGCTGGAGGGGTCCAGCCCGACCTCCGCCCCACTCACCATCTCCTTGCGCAGCGCCGCTAACGCAGAGTCCAGGTTGACCGGACGCCGCGGGCCGCCGGTGCTGGCCGAGCTGGCGGCGCCCGTGGCGTGGCGGGCCCCGTCGGGCGCGCGTGCGGCGCGGCTCAGCTCGTCGTGGATGCGGCTGCGCTGGCTGTACACGCGCTCCAGCTCCCGCCACGAACCCCCGCTGGCGTTCAGCAGGCCGCTGAGGCCGCGCGGCAGCGGGGGCAGCCCGGCCAGGGCGCAGCCCGCACCGGCCCCGCCGGGCGGCTCGGCCGAGGGCAGCCCGTTCATGGCCCGCCGGCGCGGCCCCGGCCCCCCAACGCTCCGCCGCCCGGCCCCGCGGGCCCCGCCGCCCGTGCCCAGCCGCCGCCCGCAGCCGCGCTTTGTTCCTCGCCCGGCTCCTTCGGCTCCGCCCCGGGCCCGCCCCTGCGCGAGGGCGGCGCCTGTCTTAAACAGACCAGCGAGCGGCGTGGAAAGGAGAGCCGGGACGGTCAGAGGAGAGGGAAGCAGGGGGAGGCTGGAGGGGAGCAGGAGGTCGGAGGGGAGAGAAGCAGGGGAGGCTGGAGGAGAGCAGGGGGAGGCTGGAGGGGAGCAGGGGAGGCTGGAGGAGAGCAGGGGAGGCTGGAGGGGAGCAGGAGGTCGGAGGGGAGAGAAGCAGGGGGAGGCTGGAGGGGAGCAGGGGAGGCTGGAGGAGAGCAGGGGGAGTCTGGAGGAGAGCAGGAGGTCGGAGGGGAGAGAAGCAGGGGGAGGTTGGAGGGGAGCAGGAGGTCGGAGGGGAGAGAAGCAGGGGGAGGCTGGGGGGGAGAGGAGCAGAGGGAGGCTGCAGGGGAGCAGGGGAGGCTGGATGGGAGCAGGAGGTCGGAGGGGAGAGAAGCAGGGGGAGGTTGGAGGGGAGCAGGAGGTCGGAGGGGAGAGAAGCAGGGGGAGGTCTCTTCACCACACACTCAATGTTTTGATACTCTGCCCAATTAATCCGCTAAGCAAAAGGATCTCCAAAGTGAGGGGTCAGGAGATGGGGCCAGGTCCACACCTGCTGCTGGGCGAGGGCTGGGCCAGGGTGCTGGCAGCGAGGTGGGGAGTCAGCAAAGGGGGGAGCCCGAATCCCCCCGGGGGTGGGGTGGCTGAGGTGCACCCTGCTTGCTCCTGACCTCGAGGGGGCACCACCCCCATCCCTCCACCCTAAGCAGGTGGTTGAGAGGGCAGAGGTCAAAGCTGGAACTGGGTAGAGGGCCATGCAGCTCACACAGAAAGAAGCAAGAAAAAGAGCAAGCCACGCGGAGAAACAGCCTTCTTGTTTTCCCCGAGCCCCACAGGTTTTTTTCTCGGGGGGGGGTTTTCTCTCTCTCAGTGCTGCAGCTGCTTGAGGCTGTGCAGGGCCTCGGCGCACGCCCGGATCAGGCCGCACAGCTGGACGCTGGCCTCCACCGACGTGCTGCAGCCCAGCTCGGCCGAGGCCCAGCTCAGCTTCTGCAGGAGGGCGGCCTGCGTGCAGGCCACGGCGGTGTCTGCGAGCGGAGGGACGGCGCTGGGGGGCCCGGGCGTGGCGATGGGCGGCGGGCCCTGGGCAGCCTTGAGCCCGGCCGCAGCTCCCTCGCAGTGCTCCGGCCGGGGCACGGGGGGCTGAGGGGCCGGCCGAGGCCCCGCGGGGGGCTCTGTGGCCGAGGCCAGCTGGTGCTCCCGGGCCTGGGACAGGGCGGCCTGTGCGTTCAGGGCTGAGGAGACAAGGGGGAGGCGGTGAGGGGTCAGCAGTGCGCCCTGGACAGAGCCCAGACCGCGGCAGGTGCTGGACCTGCTCGCCCCCGCACGCACACACGCACACCCCGCCCTACACCTGCCGGCCCCTCACCCGGATTGTCTTTGTCCACGTCCGAGTCCAGCTCCTGACACGCCACGCAGTACACTTTGCGCTGTTTGTCTTGCAGGAGGATCGTCTGGGGACAGACAGGGGTGAGGCGCCGCGGCTCCGAGCCCGGCGGCCCCGCACCTCTGCACCCCCAGGTCCCTCGGCTCACCCCGCACTCCGCGCACGTCTCGCCCAGCATGCGGTAACCCCGCAGCAGGTAGTCGCCCATGAGCCGAGAGATGCGATCCTGCCGCTCCCGGCGCGCCTGCAACACCTTCGTCTCCGCCTCGCTCGGAGGCTCCCAGCAGAAGTCGTCGACTTCTGGGGAAGACAGGCACGTGGGGTCGGGGGTCGTCCCGCAGGAGGGGGACCCCGGGACCCCGCAGCCCCAAGCCCGCACACCCCGACTCCTCACCAGCGCCGTTCAGGGCCATGTTGCCGTGGTCGCTGCGAGTACTAGGCTCACCGGAAGTGACGCGCACTCGGAGCGCCTCCTCCCGCGACGGCTCCGCCCCCGCCTGGCCGGCCTCCGAGCGGGGCGGAAGTGAGGCCTGCATGCGTTCTCTCTGCCCGGCTCAGGGCTTGCCGTGCCCCGAGTGATCCTGCCCCGTGCGGACCGCGGGGATGGAGGACAGAAACGCCGACTGACGGGGCCTGGGAAGGGACAGACGTAGCCGTGGCCGCTGCCCCGTCCTCCCAACGGGGAAGCAGTTTGGCGGCCAGACCCTTCGTGGCCGCCGCCTGTGCCTGCCCGCACAGCCCGAGGGGCGCCCTGGGCGCGCTCGGAGCCGTCCCCGGCCTGGGCGCTTCTCACTTGGGCAGGGACTGCTTGCTTCCTGCCGCCCCCCACCGCCTTTCGTTGTCCCCTCAGTGGCCGCGGGCTGGTCCTCTCCCCTCACTGACCTCCGCCCGAGGCCTGGGGCGCGTACCCGTCCAAGCACAGTCGGCTGGGCACGCGCGGGCCCCGGGCCGGCTGCCCCGAAGGGAGGGTGGCCGGGCGCCTGTTAACGTATTATCGTGTCCGTTAGGCTCCTCTTGGGTGGGCTGCGAGTTGGGCGGGCTCCTAGGTGACTTTTTCCCCGCTTTTCTGATACTTTTCTCTTGGGGAGGCTTGGAGGCGCCACATGGGAATTGGTCTCCAGCCTGCTCGGTGGTGAGAAATGAGCGCCAACCTCGGCTCCCTGGACGCCCTTCCCCTGGCCACGCCTCCTGCCCCAGAACTGCCATTTCTGACTCCTGGGAAGGGGGGCAGTACCCTCCTTGTCTCCCAGGGGCTTAGGCAGGGGTATACCTGACCCAAGGTCTGCACCCCAAGTGACGCCCTAAAAAACCTCTGTACTCTGTCTACCCCTTGGTCCCTGTCCTTTGTTATTCGTGACAACTGTCTCCCATCTTACAAGGCAGGGAAACTTGAGCACTTCCTTTAAAAATGCCAATGGTGGGAGCAGGCACAGTAGCCTAATGGCTAAAGTCCTCACCTTGCATGCGCCAGGATCCAATATGGACATCTGTCCGTGTCCTGGCTGCTCTGCTTCCCTTCCAGCCTGTGGCCTGGAAAAGCAATAAAGAAAATAGTCTAAAGCCTTGGGACGCTGCACCTGCACTGGAGACCCAGAAGAAGCTCCTGCCCTTGGTTCAGCTCTGGACTGTTGGGGCCAATCGGGGTGTGAACCAGCCAATGGGTCTTTCTGTCTCCTTCTCTTTATAAATCTGGCTTTCCAATAAAAATAATTTAAAAATTTTATTAGATTTTTTAAATCTAAAAAATAAATTTTTAATAAATGGTGCTAGCCTTAGACCTAAAACCTTTTCCACTGAGACAAAAAGCCAAGGTTCCTAGGGCGATGTGGAAGGTTCCACGGGTCTGGTCTGCCCCACTGTGTTCTCTCAGTCCCTGTCTGGTTCTCCCAGAGCCCATCCTCCCTCCCCTGTTGAGTTCTGCTGTCGTGTGGCCAAGGCACAGGCCTGGAACTGGGGGGGCCGGGTCTAATCCTCAACCGGCTACTTCCTGGCCGTGCTAGATTTCAGCTAGTCACCTGTAAAACAGGACCTGGGACCTGCTGGCAGGATCACACTTGTGTCTGCTTCTCTCTCTGTAACTCAGCCCTCCCAATAAAAACAAAAAACTGGACACCCCAGTATCTGATATGAGATGTGGGCACAGCTTCTAACACTGTGTACCCATCATGGCAGATGCTATTCAAAGCGTGGAGGTCCCGGCGTTGCAGGCTGCATCCTAACCAGGCAGTGCTGGGCTGGCAGCTGAGCTGGGGGAAGACCCCTTTGTCCAAAGAACAGGCCACCCTGGGGCGTTGGTTGGAGGCTGACCTTGAATTACCTCCACAATTCCTCCCAGGAACAGGAAAAAGACCAAGCACATGTTTCCTCTGGTTGGTCAGAGCAACTTGGTGCACCTGCTTTTTGCTTCCCTCGACACCTGTTAGCCCAGCACGCCTCATCCCAGCACCCTGCCTCATTACCCACACAAGGCCTTCTGATTTTACCCATCTGGAGAGAGGGGTTAACAACCATGTACTCAATTTAGGGATTGCTTGTATTTTATCTGGCTCTTCAATTGTACTATAAGATCTACAATGGCATGCAGAGATCTTTAAAAATATTTTTTTGTAAGATTTATTTATTTTTATTGCAAAGTCACATATACAGAGAGGAGAAGAGACAGAGAAAGATCTTCCATCCGATGATTCACTCCCCAAGTGACCACAGTGGCCAGTGCTGCGCCGATCTGAAGCCTGAAGCCAGGAGCCAGGAACTTCTTCCAGGTCTCCCACACGGGTGCAGGGTCCCAAGACTTTGGGCCGTCATTGACTGCTTTCCCAGGCCACAAGCAAGGAGCTGGATGGGAAGCAGGGCTGCCGGGATTAGAACTGGCACCCATATGGGATTCCAGTGTGTTCAAAGCGAGGACTTTAGCTGCTAGGCCACCGCGCCAGGTCCTAAAATACATACGTATTTTAATACCTAAATATATATATATATTTAATTTGAAAGGCAGAGTTACAGAGAGGAGAGACAAGTCTTCCATCCACTACCTGACTCCCCAAATGGCGACAACAGCCAGAGCTGAGCCCATCTGAAGCTGGGACCTTTTTCTGGGACTCCCACATGGGTGCAGGGTCCCAAGGCTTTGGGCCGTCCTCTGGTACCTGGATGGGAAGTGGAGCAGCTGGGACACAAACCAGTGTCCATATGAGATCCTAGTGCTTGAAGGCAGAAAAATAACCTGTTGAACCACAGTGCCAGCCCCACATTTAAAAATAAAAAAAATTAAACTAAAAGATTGCAAACTGATAGAAAAGAGAGCAACTGAACCTAACGTTGGTTCTTTGAAGGCTCAGTGGAGTTACAAACCCAGACTGGCTGAAGCGTGCGGACGTTGAAGCGCATTGGGAAGCTGTGTGGCAGCTACCGCAGAGTCTGGAAGTCCTCAGACATGTAGCAGATAACATCACTGGCAATGTTGCTGCCAGCCCACATGGGCTCCACTTGGCTATGCTGTCGGCCAACTGTGCAAGCAAATCATGGCAGATCGCTCACGTCGGTGCCCCTGCTGAAGGCCCGGGCTCCAGTGAGACCCTGGGAAGTCGGGTGGGTGAAGGAGCCTGTCCGTCCAGATGGTCTCCATGTCGCCTGTCTGTCTCGCTGTGAGGAGGGCCATGGTAACTTTGGAATTGCACCTGCAGGCTGCTGACGTGTATGAGAGATCCCCACCCTCCCTGGGGTTCCTGGAGGTGCTGCATGTAGAGGTTAGCCAGGGCAGGGGCGAGTGCTGGTCTACACGGTCAGCTCGGGCAGCGCCGCTGGGGGCTTCAGACCCATCTGAGTCCTGCTGCTAGCTTTCAGGGCTTTCTGGAGACTGCCAATAGTGAACCTTGAGTTCCAAGGCAACTCACCAGGGAGCAGGCCCCACACAGGAAGGTAGTACTAGTTTTTTCCCCTTCCTATTGTATTTATGATTACATGATACGATTCAATAGGCTCTGGGATTTCTCTTGCCCCTTCCCCAAATTTGCTCCCCCTAACTGATTTTCCCCATATTATTACCATAGTATAGTCCTTCATAAGCAGTCATAAGTCCATCAGGCTGCTTTTCAAGTGTGTCATGACATTGCTCATAGACAGGCATGCAGTCCAGCATCCCACTGTCAAAATACGTGCAACAGTCTCACTGGGAGTCCTTTGATCTGGAAGCAGAGATGCACAGTGCACCATATCTTCACATGTGGATATGTAAGGGAAGGTGGTGCTGTTTAGCATCGTGAGAGCCTCATCAAAAAATCAACTTCGGGATCACTGTGATAGCCAGAGGCTAAAGTCCTCGCCTTGAACATGCTCCAGGACCCCATATGGGCACCGATTCTAATCCTGGCAGCCCTGCTTCCCATCCAGCTCTCTGCTTGTGGCCTGGGAAAGCAGTCAAGGACGGCCCAAAGCCTTGGGACCCTGCACCTGTGTGGGAGACCTGGAAGAGGCTCCTGGCTCCTGATCAGCTCCTGCCATTGCAACCACTTGGGGAATGAATCAGCAGATGGAGGATCTTCTCTCTGTCTCTCCTCCTCTCTGTGTATCTGACTTTGCAATAAAAATAAATAAATCTTTAATTAAAAAAAGTAAACAAAAAATCAACTTAAGGAAAATTCCTGGCTCCTCCCCATTATCCATGAACCCCTGTGACACAGCAATCAGCTCAATCAGGAATGAAACTAATGATCCTTCTATTGGCTCATCCTCCCCTTGATGCGTTGGCATACCATAGGGTGCTGGTTCGTATCCCGGCTGCTCTGCTTCCCATCCAGCTCCCCGCCTGTGGCCTAGAAAAACAGTGGAGGACTGCCCAAAGCTTTGGAACCCTGCACCCGTGTGGGAGACCCAGAGGAGGCACCTGGCTTCTGGCTTCTGGTCGGCGCAGTTCCAGCCGTTGCAGCCCCTTACGGAATGAATCAGTGGACAGAGGATCTTCCTCTCTGTCTTTCCTCCTCTCTGTACATTTGACTTTCCAATAAAAATTAATCAACCTTAAACTTTTAAATTTTATTTTATTTTTAGATTTACTTATTTTTATTAGAAAGATTCATAGAGAAGGAGAGACAGAGAAGGGAAGTGGGGTCACTGGGCACAAGCCAGCACCAGTATGGGATTCTGCCACGTGCAAGACAAGGACTTTAGCCATTAGGCTATCGTGCCAAGCCCTAAATAAAATAAAATTTAAAAAATAATTTTAAAAAGGAATGAAGCTATCTCCAGCATAGGGCTGTCTCCTCTTGGCCACATCCTGTTTGGTTTTGTTCTTCTAGATATATATTTATTTATTTTATTTGAGAAGCAGAGTTCGAGAGGGAGAGACAGGGAAGGGCCTTCCATCTATTGATTCATTCCCCCAACAGCCACCAGGACCAGAGCAGAGCTGATATGAAACCAGGGGCTTCTGAGTTC